GATAATCTATGAATACTTCTCTACCTAAAACCTTAATTTATGGAATTAGTTTACACAAAAAGAATCCAAAATCATCCTCATTGAATCTAGCTAGTCAAGGATCAACTAAACTAATATTTTCCCAAATTTCATAAATACATATTTTCTTTATTTTATTTATTTTTTTTATCAGTAAAAGTCAGTTGTTAGTAGGAAGATTTGAACTAATGACCTCCCCTTAGGACTAAGCTTGTAGGAGAATTATGGTAGCTAACTCGGTTAGGCCTAGTTGGTTTATTTTCTTTAATTTCTGCGAGACATGATCTTTAACCTCATGTATATCTATGTTAATACTTTCTTACATAATTAATTGCCCAGATTAATATAATTATCGTGCTATTTGTAAATAATATCCTACTGATCAAAAAAAACCTAGTAAGTCAACAAATCTTTTAGAGCAACCCCTTTTGTATCCATTTATATAAAATTGTCAATTAATCTATGTGGTTTGGCAAGGTTCAATGTTCCAGCATTGCTAATTTATCTTATTCTTTTGCTAAAAAAATTGATGCACTATCTTCTTGACATCATTAGTTTCCTTTTTGTATTACATTAGGATCTAATTAGGCGTTAAACATCGGTCATTTTGTTACATAAATGCCTACATGCATGTATAGATATCATAAATTATGGTTTCATGGCTGCTTGGTTAAATTGTGTAGTACAAGTTACATAATATTTAATTAACATTGTTAATTTGGCAAAAATTAAGATTTTTAATTAATCTTCTTTTTCCAAGGTCAAACATCTGAGATGGTGATAGCGGTATTAGGTAACTTTTAATCCTTAAATTATAGATCCATAACCATTATGCTCTTTGCTTTTGTGCATATTAGATTGCATTCATTTCGCATTTAAAACTAATTAAATAATAAAAAATATGTATGCTAGAACTTGAAGAAAACTTGTCTCATTGGTAGCATAGAACAAAAAATTCATTTGAATTATTGATCAAAGAAGGGGTAGATGTTTTCTAAGGTTACTTATTTCATGCAGTAAACAAGCTATTTTGTAACTTTGTTCATAGATTAAAAATAAAAAAAGAAAACCAAAGAAAGAGGAAATGAATTGAGCTGGAATGAAAAAATGGAATGTCTAATATAGATGGCCTAATTAAAAAATGGATAAATTACACTGGCTTCCAGTGAGATTTGAAAAAAATACAGCATGACTTATAGTTTTGATATAATTACACTAACTTCTATTTTAGTAAAGTTAACATGACCAAAACTAACGTAAATAGTATAAAAACACAAAGATAAATAAGATAAAATACACATTTTAATATAAAAGAGACAACGATGGCATTTTTTCATCCATATGACTAACGAATTTCTGATAAAAATGGAGTCAAGTGTTATATAAATTAAAATTTTATGGAAGCCTAATGTAATTTTATCAAACTTATAGAACAAACTATATTTTCTCCAAACCCTAATGTTATATTCATCAAAATTATAAGAAAAAAAAAGGTCAAATGATGATTTAATTAAAGTTTATTGTATATATCTTTTACGTATTAAGGCCAAGTTTGGCATGAGACAAAAAAGACAAAAAGTCAAAAAGTCACTATCCTATTTAAGTCATATCATCTTATTTAAGTCACATCACCTCTCTAACACATCATCTCAAAACCAACCCAAACCCAACCCATATTTCATAAAAAGTCAAAAAGTACACTTATTTAATCTTCCCAAACTAGGCCTAAGATAGGGTCGTGGATTTACGATCACTTTCGCATCAACATTATGAATGATCCTACAATTGTCCATTTGCCATAAACTTGTTTCTTCTCAAGCAGCCTTGGCCTTGTCAGTTTATGGGTGACATAGTTGATGATGTATGGAGTCTTGATTTATAAGTTGGGAAAGTTCACTGTCACTATTAAACAAAACACCACATTAGTAGACTTTGAAATAGTTTAAATTAATTTATTTTGCATCTATGTTTGGAACAAACACACCACATTAGTAGACTTTGAAATAGTTCAAATTAGTTTCTTTTGCATCTACATTTGGGCTTTTACAGCCCCCACATACGGCAACCATTCTTTTGATGCATGGCCCCTCTCTCTCTAGGGTGTTTGGGAACAGCTACATACGCCACCTATTTTTCTTTTTCTTTTTCTTTTTTTGTCTTAGTAAATTTTTTTAAAATTATGTTAAAAAAATTTTCTTTTCTAATTTGTCTTGTTATGTAGTCAGATTTAAAAAGAAAAAATATATATTTTAAAAAAATCAAATAAGGCAAAAAAATCCACTATTTTTAACTTTTTTTTTTTTTTGTTTTCTTTTTTTGAAATTTTTTAAGAAAAAATTCACTATGTTTCCACTTTTTTGAAATTTTTTTTTCCAAAAAGTGATTTGAAAACTCTATTTTGAAAAAGAATTTTTGTTTGGTTTTTAAAAAAATACATCATTGCAATTTCAAGTTTCTCTCCAATTTAAGGAGAGAGACAATTTTTAAAAAAATTATCACATCAAAAAAATATTATCATCTTAGTTTTATATATATATATATATATATGTTATATATGTATGAAAACATAATTTGGTATGTACATATCCTATCATTAACTATGTGAGTTTATTATAAAATTTTCACTCATTTCAACTACAGAAAATGTAAAAAATTTCCAAATTGGCAATAAAAAATTTCTTTCGTAGAATTAAATTTTCATAAATGTTATGCCGGAAATTTATTGACAAATTCACATTAAAAACAAATCATAATTTTTGGAAATTTATTTACAAATTTGCGGAAAACGTAATTTGTTTACAAAGTCGTAAATTTATGTTTAAATTTACTTATAAAATTGTAGATTTATGTTTAAATTTACAATTTACAAAATTTTATGCATAACATTTATGAAAATTTAATTCTATGAAAGAAATTTTTTAATGCCAATTTGGAGGAAAAAAAAAATTACGTTTCCTGTAGTTAAAATGAATGGAAATTTTATGATAAAATCACACATTTAATTATAGGATATGTACTCATAAATAACTACATACCAAATTATGTTTTCATACATATATAGCATGTACATATATATATATATATAAGATGAGAGTACTTTTTCATGTGAATTTTTTTTTTAAATTGTCTCTCTTTAAATTGGAGGGAAACTTCAATTTAAAAAGTCCTCAACATATATATATATATATTCAAAATTGTCACTCTCCTTAAAATCCTCAACATATCATTTTGAAAAGTAAACTCAATTTTCGAAATAACCAAACAAATACTCTTAAATTTTCAAAAAATTGAGTTTGAAAAACAGTGTGTTTGGTTTGAGTTTTTTGGATTGAGTTTTTTGAAAATTGAATTTTTTAGTTTTCGTATTTTTTTGTTTTTAGTGAATATTTTTTAAATTTTAAATATTTCTTTTACTTTTTTAGATGCACCTTACTTAGATGTATCTAAAAAGTAAAAAATTTGTGAAAAAATATTTTAAAAAATTAACAAATACATAAAAATATAAAAAAAAATGTACTGAATTCTTGTATTTTTGGTATTTAGTGAATTTTTAAAAGATTTTTTTTACATTTTTTTTACATTTTAGGTGTATTTATGTTAGAGCATCTCTAACGGTTCACCAAACTTTTCACCAAATCTGAGTAAAAAAATCACAATTTTTCCCAATTTGGTACCAGATGCTCCAACGATTCACCTTTAACCAAATCTGTCCCGGGACAACCGGTTGGTAGACTAGCCGGTCGACCGATGAGCGGAAAATTTTTTTTTTTTTTTTTATTGTTTGAACCAGAAATGTTGAACTGTTTGAACTCTTTCCGGGACAACCGGTTGGTCGACCGGTAAGCCAAAAATTTTTTTTTTTTGAATTGTTTGAACCAGAAATGTTGAACTGTTTGAACTCTTTCCGAGACAACCGGTTGGTCAACCGGCTTGTCGATCGGTTCGTCTCCCCCAACGGTCATGTACAGTGTTTTGGTGAAATGCGAAGCCTGTTCTCAGTTTGATGAATCGTTTGGTGAAATCTCATTTTGATATCGATTTGGTGCAACTGTTGGAGCACCAAACAGTAACTTTTTCATCAAAATTTAAATTTGATATCAAGTTTGGTGAACCGTTGGAGATGGTCTTAGATGTATCTAAAAAGTAAAAAAATTGCTTAAAATATTTTAAAAAATCAGTAAAAACAAAAAAATACGGAAAATAAGAAAGTAGAATTTTCTGAAAAGTGTTTTTTGAAAAGTGGAAACAAGCAAGATAGTATTTTGGAGAATTGGTAAAAAATTGGTTTTTTTACTTTTTTAGCTTATTTTGTCTTTTTGTGAATAAGTTATGTGAGAAGTGATGTGACCCAAAATTGGTAACTTTTTGCCAGCTTCCCAAAAGATAGTGATTATTTTTCGATTCATCTCATCAAGCTATATTTAGAAATCTAAAAATTTATGCAAATTTTAAAAAAAAAAAAATACTAAAAACGAAAATAAAAACACAAAAATAAAAAATCACTAAATAAACAAATCCCAAACACCCACGACTACATCCATTTACCATCTGAGAAGCCTAGGTAATGAAGTCGAGTGATGCTAAATACACTCAAAAAAATAAAAAAAAAAATCACTTTGTAGTTTTCAGTACATAAAAAGGTGAATATGGAGAGAATTTTTGTCAAAGTGTATTTTAGAAGCACTCGTATATCTCTCCTTCCATTAAGATGGTATTTAGATTATCGACTTTGGTAGAGATTTAAAAAACAAAAAACAAAAACAAAACAAAATTTAAATGAAATATAACTACATTTCACACTCGTTTTTCTTTTCCCTTTCCATTTTCGAACCTCTACCCAAATTTATAATCCAAATATAACCTAAATACACGCTCAAAAACTATCCTTTCACACTCCACTAAATTCTTCAAAAACACTTTTACGTTTAGAGTCTTGCTTTTCAAAGGCTCAGAATACCAGATTTCACATGTCTACCAGGAAATCAAAGAGAATGTTCTGATCAATTATTCATTCAAACTTGCGAGTCCATTCAAGTCTGTGATACAAACCTATTGAATAAATACATTTTCATAATTTGAAGCTCACCCACCTTGGGGCACTGTTACAAACACAACATAATACTCGCCACATCTACAATTCATTCTTTTTTTTTTTGCTGATATTCACAGTTTCAAATCCTCAAAATTGTGCTCTCTTGCATTACATGCACAACTGTCTATCCCATTTCACCGAGTAAAAAACTAACAAAAAAATCACCAATTTGGCAAAAGAATTCAAGGTCCCAACAGATGCTGTGTGTTTCTGTGCAGTCATCTACATTTTTAGTTTTTTTTTTTTTTTCCAGCATCAACAGTCATCTCTGCCCATCTTGAAAATCAATGTGACCTTTTACCAACATCATTTCCACAAGTACAATAGGGGTGGGTTGGCTGCTACGACGTCCCAATTATGGAGTAAAGTAAGATGGATTTCGCAGCCCTATTGTGTGGATATGATATATCTGCCTGGCCTTCCGATTGCCAACTCTACCCTATTAGATGGAACACCTTCAACTATGCACCAATAGGTCTTGGTGTAGCTTTGACACTGATACTGCTTTGGTGGGTTTTGGATGCCACGGATTATTCAAGTGACCTGTAAGGAACACCAATACACAACGGAAATATTTAGCAACATTATTGGGTTAGAAAATGAAAGTGGTCATATGGGATAGTTTCTATGTCATGCTGGTAACTGATTGACAGCTTTCTCTTACACTATGTGATGGTAACCGAGTATCAGCTCAGATCCAAACAAAATAAATGGGCTCAGATGCAAATGATAATAATAATAAAGATCTAGCTCGGTATTCATAAATCATTACCCACCTGTATGTATATGAGAATTTTGATTTCAACATCAACAGTGATTTTTATCAAATCAAAAAGACTTTAATTTCAAAACGGCATCATGATTCATGATTTGATCAAAAAACAAGGAAAAATTCTATATGGGAACAGGGTAAACAAGATTAAAAAAGTTTCAAAATGGCATCCAATTGATAAAAATGGTTGCAAGTTTGACAAAATTCATCAAAAAAATTAAAATACCCTTGTGGGGGGGAGAGTAGAGATAGTGTAGGACAACAATCCATTGGATCGAAGAAACAACAATTGCTCCATTTGATGAATTGATACATAAACTAACATCTAGTACATAAGCCACTTAGTTAAATAAATTATTCAGAGGTCCTACACAAACAGCATCAGCTTATGACTTCTTTATTATTTTACAAGTCTGAGCCAGAATGTTTAGTATAACTTCTGCTTACGTCTTATGAGACAAAAATAACTTCACATGTGGTTTGAGATTGGCCTCTTTTTTTTCTAGTAAAAAAAATTCCTAAATTTTTTTAAAAAGCTTTATACATTGATAGACAGACCAAAATAGTTAAAAATAAATAAACATTAGTCACTCTAAAAAAACAAAACCTAGCTGAGAGTCCATTTCTCACTTATTTTTCAGCACTGGATATAATATTTCTTTTTTTGTGTTTTTGTTTGTGGTCTAATTGGAAGTGGTTCTTTCTTGAATTTTGATCAATTCTATCTGTTTGTTGGTTTTCCAAGTCGAAAGTACCAGACGGATGCCTCTGTTTTAGCTATGTTTGTATGAATTTTATGCCCTAATCTGATCTTTGCTGTGCATATAGAAGTTCTTGATGTTATTGGAACAATTTATCGTGTGAAAATTGATTTTGACAGGTTGTATATAACTGAAAATCTTACATTGATGATAACTTGTTGAATGATCCCACTGAATAAAATTCTTGACTATGCCCCTCAGACCAATGGACTGCATCAAATAAAAGACCAGATCAACCTGGACTAGAAACAAGCCAAATTAATGCATGTATTTGAGATTCTTTAGTATCAATCAATAGCTTACCATGCAAGTTAGAAATTTCAATCTGAAACAAATAAGATGATTAGAAACAAACAAAAAAGGTAGTACATACCTCTAGCAAAGACAACGATTCTACTTCTACGATACATAAAGTTCTTGGGACTCCATGGGAGATGACCAATACCGCAAGATTGATTCTACAGTTAGCCTTCGAGTTGCACTGAGCATAGAAATGAAGAATCGACAACCATCAATTTTGTATTCTTCAAGTGGATTCCTGTGCCCGAAACTTCTGACATTTACCTACATAAACACATTCCAAATAAGCCTTTTCCCACACACACACACACAAAATAAAAATAAAATAAAATAACTTAAAAGAGTTGAATCCACAAAATTATGAACTATACCGCCGAACTGAGCCTGTTCATGTTGACAAGATGATCCCTCCAGAAACAATCTAGAGTTTTCACAAGAACTGCCCTCTGCATTCCACAAGAAACACAAAAAGTGAAAAATAATTTTTTTAGGTCAGTAAAATGATCACAAGTCAATTTTGGAGACTGAAAGTGTCTGTGAAAGATATTCATGTGCAAGAAGAGTTGGGGAATAAAAGAATTGATTTAAAATTCTCATCTTCAAAGATAACAATGCTATTCACTTAGATGAGAGAGGTCCCAAGTGGTGATGTAAATTCACCAAATACATATATATTATATCAATGGTTTTTAGGTCTAACAATTACAATAATTGAAATTTTATTATTTTCAGGTAGACCTAGAGGTATCCTGCGTGTGTTCACGGATGGTTAGGTCATACTAACAAGCAATGCCCAATCTGATCCCTATTTATCAAAAAAAGAAAAAGTAAAGAATCTGATCCATCACCTAGAGAATGCATAGGAAGGATGTTACCTCTATTTCCTTCATATATGCATCATCATACCCAGATTCTTGTACAACATCCAAATATCAAGCAATTATAAAATCTCCAAGGTACTTGCGGAGAAGATTAACAGTTGGTCGGTACTTTCCATCTCTGCATTAATTGGTCCCAAAATTATAAGTGGCCGCATAAAAATTAAAAGCCAAATGAATTTCTTCATTATATCCTAATATACAACACCAAGGAATTAAGAATGCACTCACTTAGCTGAATCATCTGAGCATATGGCAAGCCAACGTTTCAATGAGGAGCTCTTCCTACGTATTCCCCTGAAGGCATTTGGAGGTGAGGGCAAGTTTGGAAGGTGAAAATCGTTAATACTTACAGAACTTAACTCATGAAGCTGTGTGAGGGATTCCCGTAAAGCTACCTCTGTAATCGCCACAAATGAGTCTGTAGAAGATCCATTCCTTGATGATTTATATAGATCATCTAACTCAAACAATATGCAAGATTACAGAACAAAATGACAATTTACAAGCTCACCATTCAATATCTTCCCTGAAATTCCATTGAACTCCTTCAAGAGCTTTCCCAAATTCCACTTGCTTGGATGCTATAAGACAAATAAAGTGATTCATAATCAGAAAAACGTAGACATCCATATACCATACTCTAGGCGGAAATTTCTACCTACCTTCAGTGGATCAACATTTCCAAAAATGATTTCATCTACAACAGCTTGCATGTACCTATAATTAATCTGTTAGTACATTCAAGATAATGACAGTGCTCATAATGATGTACAACAATGATTATGCCATCCAATTGAAATATGACATGGAAAATGGAACGTAGCTGTCAAAAAATGAAACGACTTGAATGTATGTATGACTATAGGGGAAAAGAAGAAGAGTACAGACATAAACTTAGTCCTGTAGTTCGAATGAAGTCACACCTTGTTTCCTGCAATTTTAATATCAACAATTTTAACCTCACTTTTAGGCGATTTTAAATGTGGTCCTTCCATCTGGACTCTGGATCCGGTAGGAATCCTGACAGAAAATGACCATGTACATGGCATGCCCCTTTTTTAGAAGGGCAAAATTGTCATTTTTACCCTATTCCTCCATTTAAGCCTGTTTCTCTCACCTTATTCATCAGTTCCTATAACATCCTAGGTGTCACCATTGCATGAAGAAATATGAAATTTTTAAAAGCATGCTTTGTTAATTCTTTGAGACATGTTATAGAAACACTTGCTTCTTTGAATAATTTATATTTCATGCTCACTTGACATGCATTATACAAAGACTTAGAAACATGAGACAGCAAGTTTTCTTTTATGCAATGCTATGTATGTATATATCGCTTCTATTGAAGTAAAATATATGTCAAATAAATACTTCACTAGGATAAATACCAGTATGCCAATCACACTTTTTCCGAAAGAACTCACAATGCAAGCAGATTTACTACCTGGAGAGTAATAAACTTTCATGCATAAATAGAAAACAAAGGAGCATCCATCAGTATGATAATGCATGCATACAAAGTAAATGCATCATACTTGATTGATCTACTTGAATAGGAAGCACAAATTAAATCACAAGGTAGGAAGGGACTCACTGGAATATGTGTTGTGAACAACTTTCGGAATCACCTGTTAAAATTAATTGCCTAAGGTCATAAACATGTTTTCTTTGCACCTGTCAGAAGAAAAACCAAAATTTACTCTCTTAGAACAATTTAAACCTATGAAACAATTTTGGATCTAAACAGACATTCATTTTGCTAATCAGTTAATATAATATTTAGATGAAATTGACAATGAATATGGAATTTGAAATTTTAATTTTAGAAGATTCATTTAAATTTGAATATGCATACTTCTAAATTGCAACAATCTCTCCTCATCCAAGTAGCGAAGCGTGTTCTTTTAAATGATTCTCCATCAAAACCTTTCAATTCGATGAATCTTTAAGGTTCACAAACAAGGTTAATTCATTAGACATGAATTAGGTGGATGTTTATGGAAAAGACAGTTCAAAGTAAGTAGTGGCTATGGCGCTGGAGGGTAGACATCTAGGGAAGTAAATAGTTCCTATGCAGTGGTTCCATGGAAGGGCAAAAGAAAAGTATGTCAAGTTTTCCCAATAATATGAGATTCAGGATTGCTGACTAGAGACAAATTAGATTTGGGCATGATGTGAATGGGTATTATCCGTGCACCATGACTTTTCCAGATTTGTGTGTCACTGGCAAGAACAAGAATGCTTGGGTGGCTGACTATTTGAGGAGTTAGGGAGCTACTTTTTTGTACGGGCAATACATGATTGAAATTTGGGATAATGGATGAGTTTTTTGAAGCTCTGTACAGGGTGGACGTGGCTCATAGAGGAGAATAGGATGATGTGAAAAAAAATAATAAGAGATTTTATATCATATTTTCCCACAATACTGTAGGAGTGTGTGTGGACAAATCTTTCCATTGGAAGATTATTCGGAAGGTGGGGGCTACATCTAATGTGACATTTTTCGTTTGGACAACAATGTAAGGACTCTATATAAATAAATAAAAAAACAACGCCCAATTAGTACACATTAATGTGTGCTTGGGAGGGGAAAGATTGGGTATAGATCTAACCTTTGGCATAGTACATAAAGCAGTTTCCCTGTGACTTGAACCCATAATCTCAAGGTCACCCCTAATGTAAGGACTCTATACTCACCATTAATAATATGGGGGAAAAGGGCAGATATTACCAAATTGGTGTTGTATGTGTCAAAGAGCTGAGTCGTCCATGGATGGTGGATCCCTTTTCTATTCATTGTGAGGTAGCAGGGGAGCTATGGAGTAATCTATTTTCTATTTTTGGAGTCTGTTGTGTTATGTCATCATCAGTTCAATTAATGCTTAAATTTTAGGCAAGAGGGTGCAGAATGCAAGGGCTTAAGGAAAGTATGGATGATATCTTGTTAGAATTTACCATCACCTACCACCACTACCACCTCACCTACTACTCCACTAAACCTAACCCACTACACCACTACCACCTCACCTACTCCACTAATGTTATGTGGTGGATTTAGAGGGCATAATAGCAGCAGAACTTTGACGATGTTGCTTTGCCAATACATAGATTGAAGACTGTTTTGATGCAGACTTCCAATTTTTGGCCATCAAGGAAGTTTCATACAAATCATCTTTTATTTTGATCAATTTTATAGAACAGCTTGTGCTTTGCATACTTTCAATGTATAGAAATTGTGCCCTTTTTTACACTTTTTGTGAATAATATATCTACTTAGAAAAAAATAAACAAGTTGTACTAAGCACTACAAATACGGTGTTTTTATTTTCAAGTACATACCTCCAGCACTTCATCGAACTCTACCAGGCTCTTCCTTATGCCAAAAAAGTATTTCTCAGCATTAATTTGCAGAGCCAAAAGCTGAAAGTTTTGTCATGTTTCAAGTTTGAAGTAAGATCACTTACAATCCAAAACAAATAAAAATAACAATATTATTGAGTTAAAAAGAAAAAAGAAAGAAAGAATACCTGCTTAACAATTGCATCACCTTCAATTGGTATATCCTTGTCATTTGTGATCTTCGATATAAGTTTCACGGCCCATTCGGTGTCAAAATTAAACTTCTGAAACATCTCATCTTGCAAGCTGTTAAATAATAAATAATTTAATTAGCCAAACCTCTAATCCCTGCATTAGCTAAGGATAGGAAAAATATGTGCAGAAGAAAAATTATAGTATACTCATCTGATATTCATTTAGAAGTATAAAATACTTTCTAAACTTATCCACAATTAAAATTATTCTTTATTTCGAATAAGTATTAGAGAGTTTCTAGATACCAAACCAAACCAAGCCTTAAGTCCCATCAAATGGGTCGGCTACATAAATCCTTCTTCTCCACACAGCCCTATCAAAGGTCATTTCGTTAGTCAAATTAAGTAGATCCATATCTCTATTTACAACGCTAGCCAACGTTAATGTAAGCCTACCCCGTCCCCTAACACTCCCATCTACCATTACAACACACCACTATCATATTATATACATTATCACAAATTTCCAGCACCATCTTAATCGATTCTCTCTTAACTTATCTTCTTTCGGTGCTACTCTTACCCATTCTCGAATACACTCATTCCTAATTTTGTCTTGTCTTGTCTAGTCTTGCCACACATCCATCTTAGTATTCTCATCTTATCTACATGTTGTTTCTTGATTGCCCAACACTCCATCTCATACAACATCGCTGGTCTAATAGTCGTTCTATAGAACTTACCTTTTAGTTTAGTGGGTATTCGTTTATCGCACGTTATCCCAGACGCACTTCTCCACTTACACCATCCCGCTTGAATCCTATGGGCCACATCCGCATCAATCTCCTCCACTGTTGTGATAATTGACCCTAAATAACGAAAATGTTCACTCTTAGCCCGTTCCTGGTTCTCAATCTTCACTTCTTCTCTACTTTCATTTTACTGTCACTAAATTTACACTCTATGTACTCTGTCTTAGTTCTACTTATCTGAAATCCTTTAAATTCAAGAGCTTTTCTCCAAATCTCCAACTTTGTGTTAATTCCTTCTTTAGTCTCATCTACTAGCACAATATCGTCTGCAAAAAGCATACACCATGGCACGTCATCCTGAATATTTCTCGTCAACTCATCCATAACTAAAGCAAAAAGATAAAGACTTAAGGTAGATCCTTAGTATAACCCTACAGTAATAAGAAATTCATTTGTCTCTCCAACAGGCGATCTAATAGTGGTCACCACCCCTTCATACATGTCCCTAATCACATCAATATAACCTTTTATCACCCCTTTCTTCTCTAACACCCACCATATTATATCCCGGAACACTCTATCATATGCTTTCTCAAGATTGATAAACACCATATGAATGTCTCTTTTCTTTTCTCTATACTTTTCTATTACTCTCCTCAAAAGATAAATCGCCTCCATTGTTAACCTGCCAGGCATAAACCCAAATTGATTCTCTGACACCTCTGTTTATATCTCGCAATCGGCGTTCCATCACCCTCTCCCACACTTTCATTGTATGACACATTTACTTGATTCCTCTATAGTTGTTGCAATTCTGGACATCTCCTTTATTCTTATAGATTGGCACTAAAATACTCTACCTCCACTCATCCGGCATGTTCCTAGTCAACAAAATTTTACTAAACCACCTATTCAACCAAGCAGCCCCCTTTTTATCCAAACACTTCCAAACTTCAATAGGGATATCATCAGGTCCTAAAGCCTTATTTGATTACATCTTCTTAAGTGTAATCTCCACTTCAAAGTTCCTAATCCTACGATAGAACCTATAGTCTTGGTTTATCGTATTACTAGCTATTTCTTCCCCTATTTCTATACTTCCATGTTCCTCATTTAATAGTTTCTCAAAATAGTTCTTCCATCTTTCCTTTATCTCTTCATCCTTCACCAATACCTTAGAATCCTCACTCTTGATGCACTTAACTTGATTAAAATCTCTTGTTTTCCTCTCCCGTATCTTAGCAAGTTTATGTACCCTCTTCTCTCCCTCTTTACTATCTAGTCTAGTGTATAGGTCATCATAAGTTTTCAACTTAGCCTTTCTCACTACTTTTTAGACCTCCTTATTAGCCAATCTGTAACTCTTAAGGTTTTCCTCAGTTCTATCTTTCTGCCACTTTTTAAAGCACTCTTTTTTTGCCTTAAATATCGCTTGAACCTCTTCCCTCCACCACCAAGTTTCCCAAGAGCTGGGTCCTGTCCCTTTCGACTCTCCAAGCACTTCCCTTGAGATTCTCCTCATACAATTGGTCATCGAGTTCCACATAGTGTTAGCATCATCTTCTAAGTCCCAAGTATCTTCTTTATCCCCTTTTAGGTCCCACCATCTCGTCCCACCATCCTTCCTACCTTGGTATTGCTCTCTAAAACATAAATCTAGTACCAAAATCCTATGTTGAGAGGCCAAGCTCTCTCCAGGAATCACCTTACAATCATTGCATTTTAGGCGGTCCACTTTTCTCATTAAGAAGTAATCTATTTGGTTCTTAACTGACCCACTCTTAAAGGTTATCAAATGCTCCTCCCTCTTCTTATACATAGTATTGGCCACCACCAGGCCAGAAGCCAACGCAAAATCCAAGATACTCTCTCCAACCTCATTTCTGTCACCAAAATCGTATCCACCATGCACCCTTTCATAACCTAGTTTATCTATGCCTACATGGCAATTAAAATCTCCATCTGTAGAAGATCCATTCCTTGATGATTTATATAGATCATCTAACTCAAACAATATGCAAGATTACAGAACAAAATGACAATTTACAAGCTCACCATTCAATATCTTCCCTGAAATTCCATTGAACTCCTTCAAGAGCTTTCCCAAATTCCACTTGCTTGGATGCTATAAGACAAATAAAGTGATTCATAATCAGAAAAACGTAGACATCCATATACCATACTCTAGGCGGAAATTTCTACCTACCTTCAGTGGATCAACATTTCCAAAAATGATTTCATCTACAACAGCTTGCATGTACCTATAATTAATCTGTTAGTACATTCAAGATAATGACAGTGCTCATAATGATGTACAACAATGATTATGCCATCCAATTGAAATATGACATGGAAAATGGAACGTGGCTGTCAAAAAATGAAACGACTTGAATGTATGTATGACTATATGGGAAAAGAAGAAGAGTACAGACATAAACTTAGTCCTGTAGTTCGAATGAAGTCACACCTTGGTTCCTGCAATTTTAATATCAACAATTTTAACCTCACTTTTAGGCGATTTTAAATGTGGTCCTTCCATCTGGACTCTGGATCCGGTAGGAATCCTGACAGAAAATGACCGTGTACATGGCATGCCCCTTTTTTAGAAGGGCAAAATTGTCATTTTTACCCTATTCCTCCATTTAAGCCTGTTTCTCTCACCTTATTCATCAGTTCCTATAACATCCTAGGTGTCACCATTGCATGAAATATGAAATTTTTAAAAGCATGCTTTGTTAATTCTTTGAGACATGTTATAGAAACACTTGCTTCTTTGAATAATTTATATTTCATGCTCACTTAACATGCATTATACAAAGACTTAGAAACATAAGACAGCAAGTTTTCTTTTATGCAATGCGATGTATGTATATATCGCTTCTATTGAAGTAAAATATATGTCATGTATGTATGTATCGCTTCTATTGAAGTAAAATATTGAAGCTTGGGTAACTAGCTTAAGGAATGATAGAATATCACCCCCTATTTATAAATGAAGATTTAGAGTTTACAAGAAATGCAATTACAAGATGATCCCTGAGTGCTATCCCTGAGTGCATAAAATGATTACAGACTGACCCTAGTGAACCTTTCAGCTAATATAATATGCTAACACTTAATATAATATGCTAACACTCCCCCTCAAGCTGGTGCGAAGATATCTCTCATGCCCAGCTTGCCTAATATGTCATGAAATGGTTTATTCCCAATCCCCTTGGTGAGAATGTCAGCAAGTTGTTCACCAGACTGGACAAATGGAATACAAATGATACCACTAGTGAGTTTCTCCTTAATGAAGTGGCGATCAATCTCAACATGTTTTGTCCTGTTATGTTGAACTGGATTGTAAGCGATGTTGATGGCGGCCTTATTATCACAGTATAACCGCATGGAGTCCGTCTGATCAATACCTAGATCACGCAACAATAATTTGATCCATAAAAGTTCACACACACCTTGTGACATAGCTCCAAACTCAGCTTCTGCGCTTGACCTGGCAACCACATTCTGTTTCTTACTCCTCCAAGTAACTAGGTTGCCGCCAACAAATGTGCAATACCCTGAAGTTGATCTCCTATCAGTTACTGACCCAGCCCAGTCAGCATCTAGGAGCATCCATCAGTATGATAATGCATGCATACAAAGTAAATGCATCATACTTGATTGATCTACTTGAATAGGAAGCACAAATTAAATCACAAGGTAGGAAGGGACTCACTGGAATATGTGTTGTGAACAACTTTCGGAATCACCTGTTAAAATTAATTGCCTAAGGTCATAAACATGTTTTCTTTGCACCTGTCAGAAGAAAAACCAAAATTTACTCTCTTAGAACAATTTAAACCTATGAAACAATTTTAGATCTAAAGAGACATTCATTTTGCTAATCAGTTAATATAATATTTAGATGAAATTGACGATGAAATTGACAATGAATATGGAATTTGAAATTTTAATTTTAGAAGATTCATTTAAATTTGAATACGCATACTTCTAAATTGCAACAATCTCTCCTCATCCAAGTAGCGAAGCGTGTTCTTTTAAATGATTCTCCATCAAAACCTTTAAATTCGATGAATCTTTAAGGTTCACAAACAAGGTTAATTCATTAGACATGAATTAGGTGGATGTTTATGGAAAAGACAGTTCAAAGTAAGTAGTGGCTATGGTGCTGGAGGGTAGACATCTAGGGAAGTAAATAGTTCCTATGCAGTGGTTCCATGGAAGGGCAAAAGAAAAGTATGTCAAGTTTTCCCAATAATGTGAGATTCAGGATTGCTGACTAGAGACAAATTAGATTTGGGCATGATGTGAATGGGTATTATCCGTGCACCATGACTTTTCCAGATTTGTGTGTCACTGGCAAGAACAAGAATGCTTGGGTGGCTGACTATTTGAGGAGTTAGGGAGCTACTTTTTTGTACGGGCAATACAAGATTGAAATTTGGGATAATGGATGAGTTTTTTGAAGCTCTGTACAGGGTGGACATGGCTCATAGAGGAGAATAGGATGATGTGAAAAAAAATAATAAGAGATTTTATATCATATTTTCCCACAATACTGTAGGAGTGTGTGTGGACAAATCTTTCCATTGGAAGATTATTCGGAAGGTGGGGGCTACATCTAATGTGACATTTTTCGTTTGGACAACAATGTAAGGACTATATGAATAAATAAAAAAACAACGCCCAATTAATACACATTAATGTGTGCTTGGGAGGGGAAAGATTGGGTATAGATCTAACCTTTGGCATAGTACATAAAGCAGTTGCCCTGTGACTTGAACCCATAATCTCAAGGTCACCCCTAACCATACAGTGTCTTCACCAACGGTCTGACACGACCATACAGTGTCTCCTATCCTTTTTTATTTTTATGTATTTTCTTGTTTTGTTCCTCTCTTCAAACTCAAGTTGGTTAGTTTCTATCCTCCTTGAGTTTGCGGGGGGCTGTTAGAATTTACCATCACCTACCACCACTACCACCTCACCTACTCCACTAAACCTAACCCACTACACCACTACCACCATCCACTACACCTACATCTATATAAGGAACCATTTGTAATAGACAACATATCAACAAATCAATCAATAATACAATTTATTCTCTTTCTCTCTCTATCAATATTTCTTACATATCTCCTATTAAGTGTTATGTGGTGGATTTAGAGGGCATAATAGCAGCAGAACTTTGACGATGTTGCTTTGCCAATACATAGATTGAAGACTGTTTTGATGCAGACTTCCAATTTTTGGCCATCAAGGAAGTTTCATAGTAATCATCTTTTGTTTTGATCAATTTTATAGAACAGCTTGTTCTTTGCATACTTTCAATGTATAGAAATTGTGCCCTTTTTTACACTTTTCGTGAATAATATATCTACTTAGAAAAAAATAAACAAGTTGTACTAAGCACTACAAATACGGTGTTTTTATTTTCGAGTACATACCTCCAGCACTTCATCGAACTCTACCAGGCTCTTCCTTATGCCAAAAAAGTATTTCTCAGCATTAATTTGCAGAGCCAAAAGCTGAAAGTTTTGTCATGTTTCAAGTTTGAAGTAAGATCACTTACAATCCAAAACAAATAAAAATAACAATATTATTGAGTTAAAAAGAAAAAAGAAAGAAAGAATACCTGCTTAACAATTGCATCACCTTCAATTGGTATATCCTTGTCATTTGTGATCTTCGATATAAGTTTCACGGCCCATTCGGTGTCAAAATTAAACTTCTGAAACATCTCATCTTGCAAGCTGTTAAATAATAAATAATTTAATTAGCCAAACCTCTAATCCCTGCATTAGCTAAGGATAGGAAAAATATGTGCAGAAGAAAAATTATAGTATACTCATCTGATATTCATTTAGAAGTATAAAATACTTTCTAAACTTATCCACAATTAAAATTATTCTTTATTTCGAATAAGTATTAGAGAGTTTCTAGATACCAAACCAAACCAAGCCTTAAGTCCCATCAAATGGGTCGGCTACATAAATCCTTCTTCTCCACACAGCCCTATCAAAGGTCATTTCGTTAGTCAAATTAAGTAGATCCATATCTCTATTTACAACGCTAGCCAACGTTAATGTAAGCCTACCCCGTCCCCTAACACTCCCATCTACCATTACAACATCGCATCTCTCACTACTGTTTCTGTTGGTCTCCGTTGTATGTGACCAAACCATCTTAATCGATTCTCTCTCAACTTATTTTCTTTCGGTGCTACTCTTACCCATTCTCGAATACACTCATTCCTAATTTTGTCTTGTCTTGTCTAGTCTTGCCACACATCCATCTTAGTATTCTCATCTTATCTACATGTTGTTTCTTGATTGCCCAACACTCCATCTCATACAACATCGCTGGTCTAATAGTCGTTCTATAGAACTTACCTTTTAGTTTAGTGGGTATTCGTTTATCGCACGTTATCCCAGACGCACTTCTCCACTTACACCATCCCGCTTGAATCCTATGGGCCACATCCGCATCAATCTCCTCCACTGTTGTGATAATTGACCCTAAATAACGAAAATGTTCACTAGCCCGTTCCTGGTTCTCAATCTTCACTTCTTCTCTATTTTCATTGTTACTGTTACTAAATTTACACTCTATGTACTCTGTCTTAGTTCTACTTATCCGAAATCCTTTAAATTCAAGAGCTTTTCTCCAAATCTCCAACTTTGTGTTAATTCCTTCTTTAGTCTCATCTACTAGCACAATATCGTCTACAAAAAGCATACACCATAGCACGTCATCCTGAATATTTCTCGTCAACTCATCCATAACTAAGGCAAAAAGATAAAGACTTAAGGTAGATCCTTAGTATAACCCTACAGTGATAGGAAATTCATTTGTCTCTCGAACAGGCGATCTAATAGTGGTCACCACCCCTTCATACATGTCCCTAATCACATCAATATAACCTTTTATCACCCCTTTCTTCTCTAACACCCACCATATTATATCCCGGAACACTCTATCATATGCTTTCTCAAGATTGATAAACACCATATGAATGTCTCTTTTCTTTTCTCTATACTTTTCTATTACTCTCCTCAAAAGATAAATCGCCTCCATTGTTAACCTGCCAGGCATAAACCCAAATTGATTCTCTGACACCTCTGTTTATATCTCGCAATCGGCGTTCCATCACCCTCTCCCACACTTTCATTATATGACACATTTACTTGATTCCTCTATAGTTGTTGCAATTCTGGACATCTCCTTTAATCTTATAGATTGGCACTAAAATACTCTACCTCCACTCATCCGGCATGTTCCTAGTCAACAAAATTTTAATAAACCACCTAGTCAACCAAGCAGCCCCCTTTTTATCCAAACACTTCCAAGCTTCAATAGGGATATCATCAGGCCCTAAAGCCTTATTTGATTACATCTTCTTAAGTGCAATCTCCACTTCAAAGTTCCTAATCCTGCGATAGAACCTATAGTCTTGGTTTATCGTATTACTAGCTATTTCTTCCCCTATTTCTATACTTCCATGTTCCTCATTTAATAGTTTCTCAAAATAGTTCTTCCATCTTTTCTTAATCTCTTCATCCTTCACCAATACCTTAGAATCATCACTCTTGATGCACTTAACTTGATTAAAATCTCTTGTTTTCCTCTCCCGTATCTTAGCAAGTTTGTATACCCACTTCTGTCCCTCCTTACTATCTAGTCTAGTGTATAGGTCATCATAAGTTTTCAACTTAGCCTTTCTCACTACTTTTTTGACCTCCTTATTAGCCAATCTATAACTCTTAAGGTTTTCCTCAGTTCTATCCTTCTGCTACTTTTTAAAGCACACTTTTTTTGCCTTAAATATCGCTTGAACCTTTTCCCTCCACCACCAAGTTTCCCGTGAGCTGGGTCCTGTCCCTTTCGACTCTCCAAGCACTTCCTTTGAGATTCTCCTCATACACTTGGTCATCGAGTTCCACATAGTGTTAGCATCATCTTCTAAGTCTCAAGTATCTTCTTTATCCCCTTTTAGGTCCCACCATCTCGTCCCACCATCCTCCCTACCTTGGTATTGCTCTCTAAAACATAAATCTAGTACCAAAATCCTATGTTGAGAGGCCAAGCTCTCTCCAGGAATCACCTTACAATCATTGCATTTTAGGCGGTTCACTTTTCTCATTAAAAAGTAATCTATTTGGTTCTTAACTGACCCACTCTTAAAGGTTATCAAATGCTCTTCACTCTTCTTATACATAGTATTAGCCACCACCAGGCCAGAAGCCAACGCAAAATCCAAGATACTCTCTCCAGCCTCATTTCTGTCACCAAAATCATATCCACCATGCACCCTTTCATAACCTAGTTTATCTATACCTACATGGCAATTAAAATCTCCACCTATAATCAGGTTTTCTCCCACGGGTATCTCCTATAAGATCTCATCCATTTGCTCCCAAAAATTCCTCTTAGTCTGATCATCTAATCTTACTTGAGGGGCGTATGCACTAATAACGTTCACTATATTCCCTCCAATAACTAGTTTAACTAACATAATCTTATCCCCTTTCCTAATAACCACCCCTACATTCTCCACAAGACCCTTGGCAATTATGATTCCTACCCTATTCCTGCGTCTATCCTTACCACTATAATACAGTTTAAAACCGGTATCTTCAATTTCCCTAACTTTCTCACCCGTCTACTTAGTTTCCTGTACGCAAGCTATACTAACTCTCCTCCTAATCATAACATCTACCAATTACATCATCTTACCAATTAAGGTTCCTATATTCCAAGTGGCTACCCTAAACCTGTAGTCTTGGACTAACTTCTTTACCCGCGCTCGTCCAAATGCGGGAACCTTTGCCTACTTTTCACCGCACCCACGCATCGATGCGGCACCTCTTGCTCACTTTTCGAAACACCCAGTGGCAAGGGCAACGCATCACTTAAGGGGAACGACCTAGCATTTAAATAGCAACCTGTCTCGAAATTGAGATGTAACATTTCTTGTGTAGCATTGGGGTGTAATTATTAGAATAAATGCAAGATTAATTTCCAATTCTTTGCATACTCCTTAAAGAATAAAAATTAGCAAATAGTAAGAGTTTAGCAAGTCAAATTTGGTCCAAGTTCGTGTCCACTTAACATAACCGTAATCTTTTTTATGTGAATACGCTACAAATTTGTTTGCGTTAATGGCAATGCATGAATCAATTCATACCTCACCATAAACCGTGTTGATCCTGGATCCCCTTGCCTGCCTGCTCTACCACGGAGCTTTGAAAAAGCATAACTTTGAAATTAGAAATATGTCTAAAATGGAGAAACATGACCAAGACACAAAACAAATCATCTACTAAGAAGCATGAAAAGTTAAGCTTCAGATCACCAAGATACTTCAGTAGTTTGCATTAATGGCAATGCATTAACAGATGAGCATACAAGCCTTGAAGAGAGTGTTAAATATTATTTTAAAGGCACAAAAAAATGGAATTCCCATTATGTTACTAAACCTTGCAAATCCTTCTATGAGATCAAATTCAGAAGATACACATCCAAAGTAAACCACATTAGACTCGAAGAATTTCATATCCAAAAATTGGGCAAGGAAAGTCAAAACATTGGGAAATAACCTCAGGAGGAAAACTCCATAAAGGCCTCAACAGAAATGGAAAAAAGATAACTAGGGTGTAAGTTCCAAAAATGGACTTCTGAAAGACGCAAAGGATTTTTTTTCCAAATCCTGTAAGCGACATTTAAATACAGCTAGATGTCTAACATTCAGCCTACATCTCAAAACAAATTATAAGCTAGATTAAATTGCGCTTGCTAAAAAAGAATGGCAGCTCCAAAATGGCTGAATTCAAATGAAATGTATTGTGATGATGATGATGGTGATGATGAAGCATTCACAGAAATGCGTGAACAGTTTTTCTGTCTTGAAAAAGTTCTTAGTCAAGCAAGGACCACATCAACAAATTTACAATGTAATACCAAAACACTTGCTGTAGAAATAAAGAGCATTCTATGGCACAATAACAATGAAATATATATGCATCACAAAATTAATAATCACAACAAAGCAATTAGACAGCATGGATGCTTAAAGACTTCACAAATTCAAAAATTTCAGTTGTTCAAAAATCAAGATACAGAATTAAGCCAGTAACTTGCATACTATTAAATCAAGCATTTGTTCCTTCTTAATTGTCAGTGTAGTTAAGTTACTCACTTGGTTATCTATTCTCCGGGACTCATGCAACGATGTCCCAATCACATGAAGGCCCCCAAGCCTTTTAACTTCCAACCCTTCACTAAAACAGTGTTTTTCACAATCTTTTAGAACTGAGAGATAAGCCAGCCCTATAGAAGGACCAAGTGGGTAACTCTCAGACTGTTCATTAACAAGCTTCTCAAGCTCTTGCAATTCTGTTGACTGACCCATCTCCACAGACTCTGAAATAATCGATTTTGCTTCCTGATATGTCCAGCTCTTACCCTCACTTTTGCATACATATTTAGCTACATAATTTGTTTGAAATGAAGTTCTCATTAAATAAATAAATAAATAAAACTAAAGAAAATTTTAAATAAATAAACAGAACAAAGGGACATGTAAAACAAAAATGATTTCAAGAATAGATCGTGTTGGAAACTTTTTATTAACAGATGACTTCAAGAGTGTGATTACTGACCCATCAGTGCCATCTTAGCTAGCAAACCTAGTGATGACGGTCCCACCTTTATCTTTGATAACACCTGCGCCGAAAGATTGGTAAGGAAACTGAAAATATCTCTTTAGCAGCAAAGAGTGACCACAGGTGAGAGTCACCTTTTGTGAAATTGGCTCACCATCAACTTCAAAATCTGGAGCTTCTTTGGTCAAAAATGAAAGCAGACTGTCCTCAATAATTTCCTTTGCAAGCATCTTAGAAAAGGATAAAAGGCCATGTATGTATTAGAAGCAAATAACTATTTAACTTCTCATCATTGAAGGAATATTACAAACATGGAAATGTAAAATTATAGGAAAAATGTGAATATTTTGGATAAAACAACACATGATGCAATACGCCCAAAATTGCCTTAATGCACAAATATACCCCATTTTCTCATTGGAGGATGGACTATGGCATGAAGATAAGATTGTTCATAACATTAATCCACCAACCTTTGGGTTTCCTCCCAGGATAATGTCCGTGCCCCTGCCAGCCATATTTGTGGAAATGGTGATGGCATATTTTCGCCCTGCTTGGGCAACAGTTTCAGCCTCCCTAGCAGCATACTGAGGAGGAAATAACGAAGAGCAAAATAATTTAAAAAAATACAGAAACATTTACCATATACCAACCAAACAGTTCTAACCGAAATGATAAACTATGCATCCAAATAAGGTTCTTTGCAAGATGATGTGTAACAAACCTTGGGTCGAGCGTTGAGAACATTGTGAGGGACTTTCTGTTCTCTCAGCAGAGAAGACAAATATTCAGAATTTTCAACACTGCATCAAGAAAAAAGAGAGTATCGTACTTATAAATCTGATTGCTTTGGTCATTCTGAAAATGCAATAAATAAAAATTATTAAATCGCCCGTGTATAGTCAAATGAATGAAATATGGAGATTGATGAACAACTCAAATTATAAGCTACAGATAAGCATCCTACAGTAGCTTAATAAGCTGGCTAATGTCCAAGCACAGAAATTCAGCAATATGATAAGTACAACATGAAAGTCTTTCTTCACATAATTATGTAACAATATATCTTATTATTGGCAACGTAATGCCTACTTGTACTTTAGAATTAAGACAGTACTTTCTTAAACTAGGAGAGGGAATCCCAAAACTAATCATGTTGGTCTCTTACAAATTAACCAACTGGTAACAGAGGGGAGAGCTAGTCCAAATTGTTGAGGTGAAGGATTGTATGAAGTAATTGCTTGACTTGTTGGAGAACCTTTATCCGTATTTATCAAAATTAGCATGGCAACAAATTACAAACTCCAACCCAGAAAGAACAAAGTTGCTTAATACTAATTTGCATGCACCAGTTTTAGAACATGAGTTATGTAGAACTTAGTCCAAACTATTCAGAAATACCATGATACTAGTCTAAGAGAAGTCATACAAATTAACAATCATTGCATGGAAAAAGTGTTGCTTAGTCAGGATGATGCAACCTTCGGGATTGATACACATCCCTTCCAATTAATGACAGCTAATGCATCCACAAATAAAGAGACAAGTTGACCTGACGAAACCAAGAAACAGAGACACAAAATGGGGGCTTGGAGATCCTTCTACCCTCTTTCTGAACTTAAAAGAGCCATTTATGGTATCGTACTTCCAGATGCGGAATGAACAATTATTACTTCAACAAAGCATTAGTTTTCTTACTTCCCCACAAAGGCTAGAAACTAAATCGACTAGGTAGCGGATCCTTTAGCTGTGACTCATACCAAAACGTTTGTGCCCTTTCTCCTTTCCAACTTTTGAATTTTGTCCCTCTGATCTGATTGTAAAATGGACAGAGCTATAAAGACAGCTGCTTAGTAGGCATTTTCCCATCTGCTGATAATGTGAGACATGTATTTTTTACTTCATTCGGAAGTAGTTGTCCGAATTTATTTTCAACTTTCGGAAGTTGAATGTTGTAAAAGTTAACTTTGTTCGGACAACAACTTCCGAAATTAAATAATTGGTTCGGACAACAACTTCCGAAATTTATTAGTTTGTTCGGACAACAACTTCCGAAAATAAATAATTATTTCGGTAGTAGATTTCCGAACCAAATAACACAATTCGGCTCTGGTTATCCGAACGACGCTGGAAAAAAAAAAAAAAAAAAAAAAACTCGCATTTCCTTCGCTATGTTTCTCATAAACACTTATTTGCTGATTTTTATAAGATAAATCCTCCATATCAATGATGAATGAGGAAGAAGCTATGAATAAGGAAGGTTGAAGCTTCAGTTTCAACGTGAAGTTTGGATGTATGCATTGAGATGAACGTGAAGTCAGGATATGTGCATTGAGATGAATTTGGTTGATGTCTAAAATAGTAATTTCATTTAGGGATAAAATTGTAATAAAATTAAATATCATTAAGTGTGTGTATAGAGGGGATTAGGTGTGTGTATATAGAAGCTCCCGAAAGATTGTATGAAGTAATTGCTTGACTTGTTGGAGAACCTTTATCCGTATTTATCAAAATTAGCATGGCAACAAATTACAAACTCCAACCCCAGAAAGAACAAAGTTGCTTAATACTAATTTGCATGCACCAGTTTTAGAACATGAGTTATGTAGAACTTAGTCCAAACTATTCAGAAATACCATGATACTAGTCTAAGAGAAGTCATACAAATTAACAATCATTGCATGGAAAAGGTGTTGCTTAGTCAGGATGATGCAACCTTCGGGATTGATACACATCCCTTCCAATTAATGACAGCTAATGCATCCACAGATAAAGAGACAAGTTGACCTGACGAAACCAAGAAACAGAGACACAAAATGGGGGCTTGGAGATCCTTCTACCCTCTTTCTGAACTTAAAAGAGCCATTTATGGTATCGTACTTCCAGATGCGGAATGAACAATTATTACTTCAACAAAGCATTAGTTTTCTTACTTCCCCACGAAGGCTAGAAACTAAATCGACTAGGTAGCGGATCCTTTAGCTGTGACTCATACCAAAACGTTTGTGCCCTTTCTCCTTTCCAACTTTTGAATTTTGTCCATCTGATCTGATTGTAAAATGGACAGAGCTATAAAGACAGCTGCTTAGTAGGCATTTTCCCATCTGCTGATAATGTGAGACATGTACAGAATATTCTGTGTGATTGTGTAATTAAACAATACAAGTGAAAATGGCATGCTATATTAAAAACTATAAAAGGAAGTGGACTTGCAGAAACACGTCCAAACTAATATAAAATACAAAAAACAACAACGCCCAATTAGTACACATTAATGTGTGTTTGGGAGGGAAAAAATTGGGTACACTTCCAAACTGATATAAAATACAAAATATAAAAAATTGAACATATACATAAACACTCACTTTCTCTGAAATGTTGGAAATGACGATAAGGCAGCTGATCAAACCAATCATGAAACCCAGTGAAGGTCATGAGGCAAGTAGTCAAATTTAAAAGAGACAGGCAGAAAAATTACCTAGTGGTACCAACTAAAACAGGACGACCTTGTCTAAACATACTCTCAACTTCTTCACGAACATGTTCCCATTTACCTCGTGCAGTCTAAGTCAGCACAGAACCAAAAGTACGTGTCAGATCAAAAGAAGAACAAATACTATAGGAAGGTAGAAATATTAATTATAATGGCCTTCAAATACTGCTCTTCTACCGCAAAAGCTTGGATAGGTAAATCCTTGCGAATATTTGGCAGATTTGTTGGCACTTCAATAACTGGAATCTGGAACATTTTCAAGAACTCTTTCTCCTGCAACAATGAGATGGGAACATTTTTGCAAACTAATTGTGTTAGAAAGTGATCATTTAGCAAAAATATTCTTTAAAATATTTAAACACCATCTCAGAATCCACAAAGAAGTCCATACTTCAGTTTTTGCAGTCCCAGTCATCCCTGACAGCTTCGGATAGAGCTTAAATAGTGATTGATATGTGATTTGTGCCACAACAACTGAATCAGCCTAACAAGTGTAAGGATATAGCTTTGAGTACAATAAGCAAGAAAGTTTTGATGTAAAAGAAAAACTCTGTAAAGATTGAAACCTCAAGAGATACCTCAATTTTGACACCTTCTTTGGCCTCTACAGCTTGATGAATCCCCTCAGACCATCTCCTTTTCTCTTCAACTCTCCCTGTCAACTACAGAAATGTCTTGTTGTGCTAATGTGAGTATTCTGCTCAACTCTCCCCTAAGACCATTTATGTACTCGGTTCAACCGTTTCATAATTGAAGTCCTTCAGAGTATCCAAACTACAGGTGCTAAGTGTCCTAATATAACGCATCAAAACCTATTCAAACAATAAGTTCATAAAATTAACGAACAGTAGCAAACACCAATAGCCCAACAGTGTGATAGACAATGTAACTAATCAAAAAGTAAATGGCAGTACTACAAGAAATCAAATAGTAGCAAGTTCATCTAAATATTTCTTGTCTAGTAAATGGCAGTAATTAAAATTGAATATGCATTTCAAAAAGTTATTAAAGTTTAAGATACACTCGAAATATTCCAAGGGACAGTTCATCTAAATAGAATTACTTGTAGTACTGAAGGTAATCTACGTTTGAGCAGATGCTGAAGACGTTGTCAACCTAACTATTAGCAGTTATGAGGGAGAGTTACTTGGGGGACCTTAGCAAACATTAGCAAACGTAGTTATGCTGAAGGTAATCTACCTTCAGTGATGAGGGAGAGTTAGGTTGTGGGGTGGCTGAGATAGATGGGGTTGCAAGGGAGCAGGGGGAGAGAGAGAGAGTGAGAAGATGGAGTGTGATTCCTTTTAGAAAAATGTGATTCAATTAAGGAATACTGGTGCTTGGATATAAGTAATTATCTACGTTTAAGGGTATGATAGATATTTTAGTATAAACGTGATGGCCACTATTTTCCATCCATGAGATTAACAAACTGTACGTGTTAAAGTGTTAAATGAATTTAAATTTTGAGGTATGTACAGTGTAATCATGCCAAGACTATGAAGCTATCTATATTTCTTTTTACTTGAGGGAGGTCTACATAATTTACCCTATTATTTATCTCTTATTAGTTAAGAAGTACGGACACGGATATGTGACACGACACAGACATACGGACACACAAATTTTTAAAAGATGCAGGGCACGACATGTTGGGGACATGTTCAAAACATATAATTTTATATATTTATTATATATCATATTTTTAAATACTTAATATTTATTTTATATCAAATATTTAATTTTATCAAATTTATTAACTTTAAGTATGCTATTTTAATAAAATAAATTAAAATTTTAATTTTTTTTTGAACTTTACCAACTTTACCAATCTGATCCATATCAGAGAGAGGAGGAGCATGTATTATACATTTCTAAAAGCAGACACAAAATAAACCATGAAATAATGGTTCACTGCTCAGTGAATAAGAAAGATAATCATTATTTATGTCCAACCTAGTTGATTTTGTGCTATTAAGGGGAAAAAGAAGAAAAAAATCAATCCTGTAGTTCCCCACACCTTCCCACTCCCTAAGTTTGTCGGTTATAATATTACTAACATGCAAAGAACCCAATTACAAAATTTAGCCAACAAATGATGTTCCGTGTTACACTAAAATGTTCTTATACAATTCAACAGATCCTCTGCAGATGCAATATTTCCTTTTTCTCAGTCTAAAACTAGCAAAATTTCTGGGAAAAACAATTATTTATTAGAAAAATGATTTGGACCCCCACGACCCCCACTGGCCTGAAATTGGCCAGTTTTTTTTTTTTTTCCTTCTCCTCCAATCACTACCCACCACGTGTGTGGGGGGGGTGGGGGGAGGGGGGATTGGAGGGGGTCTCTATCAATGTTGTTTAGATAAATAGATGGATAAATAAGTGACACGTATATATATAGTTGATATTTAGATAGATAGATAAGCATGATTTGTACAATTAGGTGTGATTTTAGACAAGTAAATGTCATATTTTTGGGCTGAAGCCGTTTAACATGTCCATGTGTCCATGTCGTGTCACGTGGTGTCCGTGCTTCTTAAAGTATCACAAATCCAATTGCAAATACTAGCATCAAAAAATCAACCAGGGGGGAATTACAACATGACATTGAATCCGACTTACCGAATTATTGGTGTAAGTAATATCGCATTTGTAGTTAAATCTCCTTTCTTCAGCTTTCATCCCCCTCTAAAAGTTGAAAGAGTCAAAGATTGAGGATATAAAAAAGATGCAATACTAAATTTGTTTAATTAGTAATGACACTACGTGAAGTCAGCCTCAGGACCTCATGTCCCAGAATTACATCATTAGAAAGAAAGTTCTAATCTAGGGTTGTCAATGGATCAGATCCAGATCCGGTTTTGACCTGATTTGGTATGATTTTGTGGCAAATCACCTGATTTGGTATGATTTTGTGGCAAATCACCTGATTTGGTATGATTTTGTGGCAAATCACCTGATTTGGTATGATTTTGTGGCAAATCACCTGATTTGGTATGATTTTGTGGCAAATCACCTGATTTGGTATGATTTTGTGGCAAATCACCTGATTTGGTATGATTTTGTGGCAAATCACCTGATTTGGTATGATTTTGTGGCAAATCACCTGATTTGGTATGATTTTGTGGCAAATCACCTGATTTGGTATGATTTTGTGGCAAATCACCTGATTTGGTATGATTTTGTGGCAAATCACCTGATTTGGTATGATTTTGTGGCAAATCACCTGATTTGGTATGATTTTGTGGCAAATCACCTGATTTGGTATGATTTTGTGGCAAATCACCTGATTTGGTATGATTTTGTGGCAAATCACCTGATTTGGTATGATTTTGTGGCAAATCACCTGATTTGGTATGATTTTGTGGCAAATCACCTGATTTGGTATGATTTTGTGGCAAATCACCTGATTTGGTATGATTTTGTGGCAAATCACCTGATTTGGTATGATTTTGTGGCAAATCACCTGATTTGGTATGATTTTGTGGCAAATCACCTGATTTGGTATGATTTTGTGGCAAATCACCTGATTTGGTATGATTTTGTGGCAAATCACCTGATTTGGTATGATTTTGTGGCAAATCACCTGATTTGGTATGATTTTGTGGCAAATCACCTGATTTGGTATGATTTTGTGGCAAATCACCTGATTTGGTATGATTTTGTGGCAAATCACCTGATTTGGTATGATTTTGTGGCAAATCACCTGATTTGGTATGATTTTGTGGCAAATCACCTGATTTGGTATGATTTTGTGGCAAATCATGATCCATCCTTTGAAATGTAAATCCAATTATAATCTGATTGAACTCAATTCTATGAAGATTTGATCCAACAAATATGCTATTTTGATTTTTTTTAAACATTATACAAGTAACATTGAAATATGTATCAAGACCAAAGTTTTAAAAGGCATTACTAAGGCTTGCCTCAATGCTTGCCTCGCCTCAAGGCTAAGGTAAAATGCATCAAGGCCTTGATTTTTAGGATTTACTCCCCAAAGGCTTACGCATAACAGCTTGAGACACACGCCTTAGGTGCGCCTTGTATGCCTTTTACACATAAGCATATGAGAAGTATGCATATGAAGAGGTTACCTTAGGCTTTTATTAAACTTAGTAGGTGTTTGGGAAATTGCTATTTTAATATGCTATTTTAGTAGGTTAAAATTTTTGTGTTTGGGAAGATGATTGGATTTTTTTGTAGTTGGATGTAATGTTTGTGAGAAAAAAAGTGAAATGATTATGGGTTTGATGTGACATTTTATCTAAATAGCTATTTTAGCCTATTTTGTCTTTTTGTGAATTTTAGCCTAAATTAGGCTAAAATCTCACTTCCCAAACACCCCTTTAATTTAGTAGATTGTTTAAACATAAAAAAGCAAAAAATAAAAAGAACTCCATTTTGCAACTGTATTCTAAAAAATAAAAAAAATAAAAAAAGTAAATGACCAATCAAGAAAAAACACAATTAATTCTCAAGTGAGAAGCTCGATTACTAAAACTAAATTTCAATTTTTGCATTGAAATATTTAACGACTTAAGGAGAAAAGTGTTTACACTTTTACATTTATTTATTTTTACTATTTTAAAATATTTAAATTATTCACTAAATATTAAAATTTAAAATTCAAAATGTTTACGCCTCACCTCATGAGGGGTAAAATGCCTCGAGTTACGCATTTGACTTTAAAAACTTTGATCAAGACCTTAATTTCAATAGGGCAAAATTCATTTTATTCCCTGCGATTTGAGGCTAGAGCACTTTACCTCCTTATGATTCAAATATAGCAAGAAAGCCCCCCATGTGGTTTGGACCAAAGTGCAATTATTAACACCGTTAACTATATATGTGAAATGACTGTAATACCTTCAAATTCTATACCTTTTTTGTTATTTTCTTTCTCTCATCTCTCATACACATAATTTATAATGTCTAATGTCTAACATTAATTCAATTAAATCACAATTACTTATAAATTCTTAATTATTTATTGTAATTCTTAACTTTTTTTATCTAATTTTAATTTAATTATGTTTCAAAACTCAATTAATCTTAAATTCTTAATTATTTACTATAATTCCTAACATGTTAATCTAATTTTAATTTAATTATATTTTAAATTAATTCTTAATTATTATTTATTATATATTTTTATTTAATTATATTTTATATTTTAGATCAATCCTTAATTATATTATATTTAATTTAATTAACATTTTAATCTAATTTAAGGTTTGGAGAACATAAGGGTAAAATTGTCTTTTTGTGTATTAATTTTACTTTAGTTTTCAGAAAACCAAATTCATTCTCAAAAATAGTATGTGTGATACACCTTCCGTTAGTTTGGACGGAAAACAATGACACTTTGAACCATAAAAGGTAAAGTGCTCCAGTCCCAAACCACGAGAGATAAAATGAATTTAACCCATTTCAATATTTGTCTCAGATTTGGATCGAAGTCAGATTTGCAGATACTTCATTAGAAAACCAAACTTGGTCATAATTATATAGGATCAATTGAATTCGGATTCAAAATCCAATGTCAGTATATGCATATATGTGTTGCTATATGTGTTTCTAATCCAACCTGTTGACAACCCTATTCTAGTCCAACAAAAGCACCCAGAGGCAGGAGGGGGAGGGAGAACATAATTTGCAATTTTCAGTTAAGACCCACAGAAAATTACTTGGATAAGACCCACGGAAAGACCTAGGAAACGATGAACACGACCCATCCACTCAGCATCTCGTTGAGCTAGGTAATCATTAACAGTTACCACTGTAAAGGAAAAAAATAAATCAGCAAACACAATCGCTGGATTAAACAATAAATGGCATCCTTCGTTACAACATGCCTCAAAGTAATACATGATAAACAAAACATCTTTACATCAAAAGGGAAAACCCGTGAATGGGCTAAGTGGACAAAAAACAAGGCAAAACACAATTCAAACACCAAAGAGTAAAGAAAAAATCAACAATGGATCAACAATTCGCACTTCCAAGAAACATGTTACATGTTAAAACATATGAAACATGTTACAAGGTTAAAAAATAAATAATAAAACAAAAAACTTGAGATCTAATGATAAAAGAAAAATAATGTCGATTTATAGTTACTAATTCCTCCTTTAGACTTTGGGAATTAATATTATGTTACATTTTTTTATTATATTTGAGCGAAATATTCATATATGTGGGACATAACAAATATATAAAACTATATATTTTGCATATGTAACCCACATATCATGTCTTGCATTTTTTTAGAATTGTCATTGTTGTAATAGTCATATGTTATTATGTTATTATTTTATTAGTTGAGGGTACTATGGTCATATTGTAATATGACCATAGTATGGTACTATTACTGCTGGAGTAGGGTTAGAGAGGATACTATGGTCATATTGTAATATTACTGCTGGAGTAGGGTTGATTTTCACAACTCTAAACCAATTAATCAAACCATCTTCTCTTCTCTCTCTCTTCCTCTCTAACCCTAACCCTAACATTCAACTTGTGCATTCTAACTTGGTATCAGAGCAGAGTTCCTGCCTTCTTGAGTGTTCATCAGAATCTAGAGATCATTGTGAGGTGACAGCAATGTGCTGATGTCATCATTCATACGATGACATCAGCGTGACATCATCATCCGTACGGACAAGTTGGGCTCTCAAGGATAGATTCTTCCTTCTAAGTTCAATGGTGATTTTTGTGGAATTTTTTGGAGCCATTTGGTGTAAGTTTTGTACTTTTGAATGATTTTCGAATATTTTTGGTGAAAAATTGAAAATGCTGTTTCTACTCTACTTGTGCGAGTTCTACCTAGTGGGCTCATCTCTATAGGGGCTGAAAATCATCAAGGGGGTCTTCCTTGAGGTTTGTTTTGAGATTTGGTACTGTTTTGTTGGATTTTTGGTACTTTTTTGCCTCCTTCCCTGTTCGGCATCTCTGGGTTTGGTCACAGACTTCTCTGTTTGGTGTTTTCTACTGTTATTTGGCTGCTTTGGCTGTGTTATTTGGCTGTTTTCTGCTGGTTTGGTCACTAACTTCTCTTACTTTAGCTGTGTTGCTATCATAGGTTTTATCTCTTATTTTGGCTGTGTTCCTGTTCCATTTTTTTTTTTTTTTTTTTTTTTTTGGGCTGCTGTGTGTTTTCCATGGCAAAAACCAAACCTCCTGTGGTTAAAGATGATGAGTTGCCTAAAGTCTATTACTACCAAGAAACTTAATGGCTTAAATTATCTGGCTTGGGCTCATGCCGTTAAAATCTTTTTGCGGGGTTAAGAAAAAATCCCGTTTTCTTACTGAACTTCCTCATGCTATTGATGGGATGGCTCTGGCATAGTGAGGACTCGTGTTATGGGATGACTAGTGTGGAATTTTGTGGAACTTCCTCCTGCTATTGTGGAATTTTGTGTAGTGAGGACTCTTGTGTTATGGGATGGCTCTGGCATAGCTTGGAACCTCATGTTGCTACTACTGTGGAATTTTGGGACACCTCGAAGGAAATTTGGGACTCCCTTGTTAAGTCATTTTCAAATCAAAGTAGTGTCTCCCGGGTCTATGAGTTATATGAGCAAATTTTTGCTACTCGATAATCTGCCGTTCTCTTTCGGATTATTACAGTGGCCTTAAGAATTTGTGAGATCAGTTATTACAGCATAGACCTTTTACTACTGATTTAGCATAACAAAAGCGGAATTGGGAGGAGTTTATGATGGCCTCTTTACTTGTGGGCTTAGATTCTGATTTACAGGATTTCAAAGATCAGATCCTTGCTAGTGAGACGTTACCTTCCGTTGCTAATGCCCAAGGTTCTGAAAAGCGGTTGCGGTCGCCGTAACAGTAGCGGTGATGCATTTGCGGTTGCGGGGTGTAAAGGTCGTAGCGTAACGGTTGCAGTAACCGGAACCGTCAAAAACTTACCGATACACATATTTTTTTTCCATGATCATTTTTATTAGGTTTAAAATAATTATTGATCAATTTTTGTAAATTTTTAAGTATGATCCAATATATTTCATATTTTTAAATCACCATAAACTGAGTTTGTTACATTTTATTTTAATAATTAATGACTTTATATTATACAAAAAATCAATCACTAACCATAATATATAAGATAAACAATGACAAAAGTAAGAGAATAAATAAGAGCCTAAATATATATATATATACATTTTTTAACAAAGCCAAATAGATAATGACCACACTTATTATTATTATTATTATTATTATTATTATTATTATTTTCAAACAATATATAGGTAGACACACAAACAAAATGGTTGAGTGATAGCAGCTGAATAGAATAACATAGGTCTTACAGTTTCAACAAATCAATAACATGTTCTTCATCTTCCCTCTTTTCTCTCTCTATCTCTGGCTCCTCCATCTTCCCTCTTCTCTCTATCCCTCTTCCCCTTATTTTTAGCTTTTTTTTTTTGTGTTTTTTCGAAAGAAGCAATTCGGAACTATTACATAACGGTGCGTAACGGGCTGTTACGGCACCGTTACGACCGCTATGGTAGCCGTTACGGCCGACACACCTGTGAATCTCAATCAAACTGCAAAAGCTGCCGTAGCGGGTAACGGTAACCACCACAACCGTTACATAACGATGTTACCTAACGGTTGCGGCCGCTTTTTAAAACCTTGCTAATGCCTATTCTCGGCCATTGCACTATTCTTTGGGACAGGGTTCGACTTCATCTGGTTCCGCTTCTCAAACTTCAGCCTCTTCTACGTTGATCTCTAGTAGTGGCGACCGTGGGTCCCGTGGAAGTTTTCAGGGCCACTCTAGTCATGGTGGCTCGCATACTAGTTTTCGTGGTTTTCGCGGTGGTCGTTCTTCTCATGGTTCTCATCGTGGTGGTGGGCATGGACATGGTTCTGCATCCCGTGGTGATCGGAAGTGTACTCAGTGTGGTTCCTTGGGTCATTCTGAGTGTTGGCGAAAGTATGGTAAACCTTATCATATAAATCAGGTTATGAATGCTCCATCCTCTCAGTCAACACATTTTCCCTCTGGCACATTTGCTTTCCCACTTGATTCTCATGACGCACTCACTACTCAAATTAGCGAGCTTACTGAGCTAGTCCAGTCTCTTCGTACTGCTATCCCTTCATCCTCCACAGCTACAATGGTTGGTTCAGGTAATCTTGCCTATGTGGCTCAATCTCCACAACCTTGGCTCATAGACTCTAATGCTAGTTCCTATATCTCCGATAATTCATCTCTTTTCCATACTCTTCATCTTGTTACACATAATATTATACTAGCTGATGAATCCTCCCGACCTATTAGTGGCAAAAGTATTCTTCAACCCACTCCATCTCTCTCCTTAACCTCTAGTCTTTATGTTCCTACTTTTTCATTTAATTTACTTTCTACTAGTCAATTGACTGAAGCTCTTCACTATTCCATAGCATTTTCTCCCATTTCGTGTGTTTTGCAGGACCCCCAGACCAAGAGATGATTGGTTTGGGGCGTGAGAAGGATGGCTTATATTTTTCGGACACTGATAACCCATCTTGTTCTACTTCTATTGTTTTGAGTGCTACCGTGTCTCCTCTGCAATGGCATTTTCACTTGGGTCATCTGTCTTTAACCAAGCTTAAGGTAGCCATTCCTAGCTTGAGTCATGTGTCTAAACTTGAGTGTGATGCTTGTCAACTTGGCAAGCACCACCGTAGTTCCTTTCCTAGTCGTAGTGTTAGTCGTGTGTCCGCATCTTTTGATGTAATCCATACAGACATATGGGGTCCATCTCGGACTCCCACTGTTAATGACTTTCTTTATTTTGTTATTTTTGTAAATGATTACTCTCGGATGACTTGGTTATTTTTACCAAAGCAGCGGTCTAAATTACCCCAAATAATTTCTAAGTTTTATAATGAAATCTTTACTCAGTTTGGGAAATGTATTAAAATATTCCGGTCTGATAATGTCTTAGAATATATGCAGTCTACTATATATCTTTTTGTGCTAATTGTGGTATTATTCATCAGACTAGTTATGTTCAAACATCACCCCAAAATGGTGTTGCTGAGCAGAAACACCATCATTTGTTAGATGTTGCTCGCACATTGTTGTTTAACATGGACGTTCCCAAACAGTTTTGGGGTGATGCTGTGCTCACTGCTTGCTCTCTTATTAACTGCATGCCCTCGGTTGTGTTACAAAACCAGTCTCCCTTCTCTCAGTTATACCCTGGTTGTTCCCCGTTTCCTCTTTCTCCCCGTATTTTTGTTTGTCTGGCTTTTGTCCATGTCCTTGATCCGGGCCTAGATAAGTTATCTCCTCATGCTCGTATGTGTTTTTAGGTTATTCTCGTACTCAAAAAGGTTACCGGTGTTATCACCCTAAGTCGCGTCAATTCTTTATCAGTGCTAATGTAACCTCTTTTGAGTCCACCCCGTTTTTTTCTTCATATGGTCAACAATTGTCAATCGATCTTATATCTTGTCGTAAGGGGGAGCCAACTTCTTCCACGCCTTCTTTTCCAATGCCTTATGTCTCCTCATCCTCTATTTCACCCTCTACCAGTGTAGATCCCCCTCCTTCACCTCCATCACCTCTCCAAGTTTATCAGCGGCCCCAAAATCCTCACCTTATTTCTTATGGTCCGAACAGTTCATCTTCTTTGTCAGAGGCTCATGGCCCTCCTACCATTCTGGACTCTGATAATCTTCCCATTGCTTTGCACCGAAGTAAACGTGCTTGCACCCAATATCCCTTTGCCCATTTTGTTTCTTATGATCGTCTTTCCACTAGTCTTCACTCTTATGCTTGTAGCTTATCTTATGTTTCCGTTACATCTTCCTATGAGCAGGCTATGTCCATGTCGGATTGGAAGCATGCTATGGATGAGGAAATGAGTGATCTTCATCAGAATCAGACTTGGGAACTTACTCCATTGCCTTATGGGAAACCTAGTGTTGGTTGTCGTTAGATTTATATTGTCAAGTATCTTCCTGATGGTACTGTTGAGCGGCTTAAGGCCCACTTAGTGGCCAAAGGCTACACACAAACTTATGGTGTTGATTATCTAGAGACCTTCTCCCCTGTGGCTCGCCTTAACTCTGTTCGGATTCTCCTCTCTGTTGCCATTAGTCAGTCTTCGCCTTGATATCAACTTGATATAAAGAATGCCTTTCTTCATAGCGATCTCCAAGAGGAGGTCTATATGGATCAACCACCTGGCTATGTTGTTCCCAGAAGTGAGCATATGGTATGTCAATTGCGGAAGGCCTTGTATGGTCTCAAGCAATCTCCACGTGCTTGGTTTGATCGCTTCAGTGCAGTTGTGCTTTCATATGGGTTCCACCGTTCCACTTCTGATCATTCGGTTTTTGTTTACCACTTGTATACTGGGAGTACTGTTCTCATTTTCTATGTGGATGACATCATCATTTCTGGTAGTGACTCCCCCAGTATTGCTAATTTAAAATGGTCTTTAGGTCAGCACTTTCACACCAAGGACTTGGGTCATCTTCACTATTTTCTTGGGATGGAGGTTACTCGGTCTTCTCGGGGGCTGTTTCTTTCGCAACACAAGTATGTGCTTGATCTTCTCTCTGAGACTGGCCTCTTAGGTACTCGTCTGAGTGATACTCCCATGGTCTCCTGTGTTAAATTGGATGGTGATACTGGGGACTTATTTCCTGATATTGGCCGTTATTGTCGTTTAGTTAGGAAATTGATTTATCTCACTGCCACTCGTCCTGATATTACATATTCTGTCAGTGTGGTTAGTCAGTTTATGCATACTTCTCGTAACCCTCATTTTGAGCTGTTTGTCGTATCTTGCGTTATCTAAAGAGTGCCCCAAGTCGTTGTCTACTTTATCGTCCTTCCTTGTCTATCACTGGTTGTAGTGATGCTGATTACGCTGGCAGTCAGACTAATCGATGTTCTGCCACGGACTATTGCACCTTCGTTGGCAGTAATCTTGTTGCTTGGCGTAGCAAGAAGCAGACAGTTGTTGCTTGTTCGACTGCCGAGGCTGAGTACCGTGCCATGGCCCATACCGCTTCTGAGATATTGTGAGTTCAATCTCTTCTACAAAATTTTGATATTCTTGTTCCCACTCCTATGAGTATGTGTTTTGATAATCAGACTGCTATCTTTATTGCCAATAATCCAGTATTTCATGAACGTACGAAGCATATTGAAATTGACTGTTATTTTATTCGTGACCTCTTACTAAGAAAGCAACTTGTGACTCTTTTTGTTCGTTCTAAAGATCAATTGGGTGATATCCTCACCAAACCCTTGGCTCGGTCTTCCTTTCATCACTTATCTACCAAGCTAAGCATGTTTAATCTCTATACTCCAGCTTGGGGGGAGTGTTAGAATAGTTATATGTTATAATGTTATTATTTTATTAGTTCAGGGTATTATGGTCATATTTTAATATGTCTTCATAGAAATATATACTGTTGGAGTAGGGTTGATTTTCACAACTCTAAACCAATTAGTCAAACCATCTTCTCCTCTCTCCCTTCCTCTCTAACCCTAACCCTAATATTTAACTTGTGCATTCTAACTGTCATGTTAGTGTATTTGTGTCGGGTTGTGTGTCCATGCTTCCTAGGTTGCTACAAAGGCCTTCTTTTCAGTCTTCGATTTTGTGTAATTTGCGTGACCCTCCAGCTGCCGCTGTAATATAAATTATTTACTTATGACATATATGCATTATTTTATATACATATGATTATAAGAAAAGTGTACAGCGTTAGTTTGACCCAATCTTTTTTTTTTTTTTTTTTGTGATTTGCAACTCATCCATTTATTCCCATACTTCATGGCTTCAATTCAAACCAAATTTAAAGATTAATCTGATTATCTTATGTGTACTGCTTTCTAAGGAATCATGCTGATTGATGAATAAATTGCTGAACTATATTTACCTACAAGTGAATCCAAATTTCATGTTCTATGAAAAACTTGAGGAAGCATTTTGGTTTAAAATGTTAAGAGGACAACAAGCAGTTGGAAGGAATGATGTCTTTCCCATTTTTATCACTTTGCTCTTGTTTTTTCTGGCAGATTCATAAGCAGAACGAGGTGTTTACTGTTCTTTCCACCATGTTTTCCAGGAAATAAAGGTAGATGGATTGTTAACTTATGACTATTATCCAGTTAAGAGGATTCACAATACAATGGATGCAGGCTACTGAAAAAGGTTCCAGTGCCATCAAATAGGCTTGTATGCCAAGATTGTCTGAAGTCACAACCAACTTAAACATGAGTTCTCCATTAGAAACTGACTACCAGTTAAACAGGCTTAAATAGGTAAATTAAGAACATAATCTTAATTACTGAATTTTAACTTCTGATAATTTCTGAAGAAAAAACAAAACAAAACAACACAGCACAAAACAAAAAACCCAAATTGTAATATAATTATTACAATTAAGCTTCCAAAACAAAACAATAATACAATGTTAGCAATAACCACATCAGGAGAACTTACCATGAACACCCTCCCCAGTGAGGGCATTAAGATATGCAGCTAATGTTGAAACCAGTGTTTTTCCCTCACCCGTCTTCATTTCAGCAATTGACCCATCATGAAGCACCGCCCCACCAATGATCTATCACTCAAATTTGCATGATATTTCAGACACAATTTCTAGGTTTAGTAAATTAAAGACAATTAACAACAGAGATAGAGAACATGAGAGAGAGACCTGGACATCAAAATGACGCATTCCAAGCTTCCTTCTCGCAGCTTCTCGAACAACAGCAAATGCCTCTGACAATCAAAAAAAAAAGAATCAAATTTTAAATATTTTGTTTAAAATAATTGAACATTGATGACGGAAGCATAAGAGGTGATAGTTCTTCAAACCAGCTTGAATGTCTGCAACTGTCTCTCCATGTTTCAACCGGTGTCGAAACTCAATTGTTTTTGTAGTCAACTAGAAACCAAAAACCCAACAAAAAAGAAAAAACATTAACAAACAATCCACAAACAAAACCACCATAACTATTCATACAACCAATTCAACAAACCCACAAACCTGTTCATCAGACAGTCCCTGAATATGCGGTTCCAAGGCATTAACAGAGTTCACGAGTCGATAATAATCCCTAACAACCCAATAATTCAAGCTACTAAAATCACTCCAAACTTTCGTGACCCGACCCAAATCTTCCTGAAACAAAGCAAACACGCCAGTGAAGTGAAAAAAAAAAAAAACCATTTGAGCATATCAACAAACAGTTGATGGGCGTGCGGAAAGACTAGTTGTTTATACCTTAAGAGAGGAAAGGATGGGTGTGGAAGCGAAACGAGGACGTCGAGACGGAGAGGAAGAGAAGGAGTGAGGTAGAGAAGAGAAGGGTGTGGTGTAGAGGAACGTTGTGCGAGGCGGAAGAAGGTGGTGTCTTGGGGAAGGAAAGAAGGAGGTACTGAGGTTTAGGAAAGCGGCCATTGTTGGGTGCGTTTGTGTAGTGTAGGTGTTATTGTGAGTGAACTTGAATTGAGCTGGTTTTGTTCGGACAACCATGGAAGATTAACGGCCCTATGAAACGTCTCGTTTTTTCGCTCTGTGTTTCTTATACCATCTCCGGTTGTTTGGAACCACCTGGTAACCCCTTTTTTTTTTCTTTTTTTCAAAAAGTCGACAAAGTAATGAAAAAAAATTGATTTAACAACCCTCACTAATTTTTAATAATGAAAGAGATTTATAATAAATTTTTTTTTGATAACTTAAGGCCCTTCATCTACACCCATATATAACACTCACTCTCTCATTCTCTCTTCTCGTACCAAACCTCTCACTCTCTTAGAACTTGATTCATCTCCCTCAACTGAAAACCCTATATAAATCCTTAAATTTTAGATCATGAGATCAAATATTCATCGAATTATCTTCCAAACCCACCAAGAACAAATATATACATGTATATATACAAACCAAAGCAGCAACAGCTAAATTTACAACAGTAATTGGGTCCCAAAAGCACTAAATTCACCAGAATTAGCAGCGAATTGAGGTTAGAAGAAGAAGAAGAAAATTGTAGCAGAAGCAGCAATGGTGATAGGAAGAACCATCGCATAACGTCGCTGTCATCGGTGGTACCAGACTGTGTAAAGCGGTGGTTCCAAGAGGCCAAAGGCAACGACTTCTCTGGTGAGTTTGTTGGAGAATCACCAACACCATCGATGTGGGATATGGAGATATGGCCCAAGTGGACAGCACCGATTCCATCGACAGCGCAGCTTAGGAATCAAATTGAATTTTCTCTCGATTGTGTGAATTTTCTCTGGATGTGGAAACTATGTGAATTTTCTCTGGTTGTATGAATTTTGTCTTGCTATATGAATTTTCTCTAGCTGCTGTATGAATTTTCTTTGGCTATATGAATTTTCTTAAGACTGTGTGAATTTTCTCTGGTTGTATGAATTTTCTCTAATTATATGAATTTTCTCTAGATGTAGAAACTGTGTGAATTTTCTCTGACTGTATGAATTTTCTCTGGCTATGATCACTGTGTGAATTTTCTCTAGTTTTGGTCACTGTTTGTAATTTTATAAATTTTCTCTGATTGTGGTCACTATATGAATTTTCTCTAATTATGGTCATTGTGTGAATTTCTCAAACACTATGGGATTGTGATGTGTCTAGAGAACTTTCAATGAAAATGCCTAGAGAAATTCTAAACATAAACACACATACGCACTCAGAGAAATTCTAAAGGATTCTGATGTGTCCAGAAAAATTCCAAACATGAACACACAAATACACAGCAAAATTTCTCTGGTTTTGAAATTTCTCTTGTTTCAAAATTTTTCTAGATTGAAATTTTTTTAGAAACATGTTAAGGGACCCCAACTATTATGCAAATATTACATGTCTTTTATCATATAAAATATTAATACTAAAGACCTTAAAAAAAATTCTCCTAGAATAATGTGACGAGTTATAATGATATTTTTGACTTTTTAATTAAAATTAAAAGTTACTAAACAAGACTTTATACATAAATAAGTTACAAAATAAATTTGACTTTAATGAAAAAAAGTTGAATAAATATTTTTTTTTTTTGATAATAAAACCCTACAATGATGATTTTAAAATATGACTTAAAAAATGCAGTAAGAGTTTGATGTACAAACTTTTTAATGGACAAACAAGGTTAAGACCAAAATTAAATAAGCTACCATGTCATGTTTTTAGTCTACAAAAATTGAGTTTAAAAATTAGACTATGTTATATTAATTTTAAAAAATTAAGTAAAACTCAATTTACACTTCATTTGGGATTTTTTTTTTTTTTTTGTGACTTTTTTTATTTTTTTAGTTAAGACATGAAATAAAATTTTTGAAATATTTGGGAATGATTTTTTATTTTTCACAAAAAAAATGTGTAAAAAATAAAAATAATGAGAAGGAATATTTCATTTTTATATGATTTTTTTACTTTTTTGACTAATTAAAGGCATCGTTCGTAACATGAATATTCTATTTAACGAGTCCTAAAAAGTGAATGATTCAAATCATCGAAATCGGTCCTGTGGGGAAGTATTTTGAGAATGACGCCACGTGGCCAAGGTGCCTCAAGATGTCGATCGAGGTGCCATATGGGTGAGTCATGTTTGTCGAGGTGATTGCTTCGTTGCCAAGATTCGGTGCAGTAATGTCGGAATCCAAGATATTCGGATAGAGGACAAGAGTCCTAAATGACATCAAGCTACCTATTTGGATAAAGGTGGGAGTCTTAAGGAAGTTCGTCTTAATCTGAATAGTGTGAATTGTGATAGATGTTATCCTTGTAAAGGATAGAGTCCTATGAAATAAGACTTTTAGGAGAAGTTGGACATTGATCGTTATAAAAGTGAGACACCCCTGCGGCTCTTTTATTTGATATGCTTTTGATTGTGAATTGTGTACTTGTGTTGATATCTTTAAGAGATAAGTTGACTGACTTGATTGTCGAAGTGCTCCTGAGTGGACGAGCCACCGCGGTATTTCTTGTCTTCTTATGCACAAGTGCTGACTTTATCTATTCTGCTACGTGCTCTCTACCTAAGATTCATGTCTAGTTGTGTGGTCGGAAATCAACACCCACAATTTGGCGCCGTCTATGGGAACTTAGTTAGAATAGATGGCCATCATCGTGCCAGATCAAAGTGTCGGCGACGATGAGTTCAGCAAAGATAGAGAATGCATCGACATTAACAAAATAAAGACCCTTTTAGAAGGAATGAATGCAAAGACAAGGAGGCATGAACGCTCCAGAGAAGATGAAGACGACCTTCAAGTAGAAAAGGCATCGACCTAGGTGAAGCAGATCCAAGATGGAAGAGCATAGCCTAGGTGAAGCAGATCCTACATGGAAGAGCATGGCCTAAGTAGAGCAGATCTAAGATACAAAAGCTTAGACTAAATGAGCACATCCTAAATCCCAGATCCAGAAGACAAGATCTCGACTTAGATGAATAGGTCTGAGAATATAAGAGCTTAGCCTAAGTGAGCAAATCTCAGATCCTAGAAGACAAGATCTCAACTTAGATGAGTAGGTCCAAGAAGACAAGAGCTCAATCTAAGTGAGTAGATCCCAGATCCTAGAAGACAAGATCTCGGCCTAGATGAGTAGGTCTGAGAAGACAAGAGCTTAGCCTAAGTGACATCCCAGATCCCAGAAGACAAGATCTCGGCCTAGATGAATGGGTCTGAGAATACAAGAGCTCAGCCTAAGTGAGCAGATCCCAGATCCTAGAAGACAAGATCTCGACCTAGATGAGTAGGTCTAAGAGGACAAGAGCTCAATCTAACTGAGTAGATCCCAGATCCTAGAAGACAAGATCTCGACCTAGATAACTAGGTCCGAGAAGACAAGAGTTCAACCTAAGTGAGCAGATCCCAAAAGACAAGATCTTGGCCTGGATGAGTAGGTCTGAGAGAACAAGAGTTCAGCCTAAGTGAGTAGATCCCAAATCCCAGAAGACAAGATCTCGGTCTAGATGAGTAGGTCTGAGAAGACAATAACTCAACCTAAGTGAGCAGATTCCAGATTCTAAAAGACAAGATCTCGGCCTAAATGAGTAGATTTGAGAAGATAAGAGCTCAACCTTTGTAGGGGGAGTCCAGATAGATCTCCACCTAGATGAATAGGTCCAAGAAGACAAAAGCTCGGACTAAGTGAGTAGATCTCAAATCCTAGAAGACAAGATGTCGACCTAGATTATTAGAACCGAGAAAACAAGAGCTCGGCTTAAGTAAGCAGATCCCAGATCCAGAAGACAAGATCTTGACCTAGATAAGTAGGTCCGAGAAGAGAAGATCTCGACCTAGATGAGTAGGTCCGAGAAGACAAGAGTTCCACCTAGGTGAACAATTTTGAAAAGATCAGAACTTACGGGAGGCGAACAGAGTTGAGATAAAACAAAGCTTACTTGAGATTAGAAGATCTTGATGATAAGAGATTGTCGAGGCCTTGGAATGTGGCTTGACGAAATTTAGAGCTCGGCTATAATGATGTCAATAACCTCAGCCAAAGTTAATAATAAATCAAAGGGAAACTCATATGATCAAATTGAAGTCGGCCAGGTTCTGTCTGTCAACAAAAGGCTATCTGTACAGGAGATCTTGTACTAGACCTCTACTGCGATGTGTACATCTGTCCCAAGTAAAGGACTTTTTGTACAAGATTCATGAAGGAGTATGTGGAAGCCATGCAAAGGGTAGATCACTTGCTCATAGAGCTATATCACAGGGATTCTATATCACTTTCTTACTAGTATCGATTTTGTTTTTTACAAAATGTTGTTGAACTTTATGATTATGAGATAGGACTGAGAAAGTCTTAAGGCGATGTTCCATGGTGAACAAGGTCATTAACTTAGACTTGCCGTGATGGTAGAGTTGAACTAAGTATAAGGCGATATTTCAATATAAAACAAGGCGATTAACTTAGACTTGCCGTGATGGTAGAGTTGAACTAAGTACAGAGTGATGTTTCAATGTGAAACATGGCGATTAACTTAGACTTGCCATGATGGTAGAGTAGAACTGAGTATAAGGCAATGTTTCAATTTGAAACAAGGCGAAAACCAGCCATGATATGGCTAGTTTGTACGAAAAGTCGAGGTAGGTAGTACTCTCGGTACACTAAGGTCAAGCCTTAAGTGTTTAGTTTGGGCGAGCCAAACGTGATGACCTCGGTCATGGATGTCTAAGTTAGACTTAGGCAAGAATCATACGATGTTCCCATGGTGAACAAGGCGATTAACTTGCCATATTGGTAAAGTTGAACTAAGTATAAGACGATGTTTCAATGTGAAACAAGGCGAAACTAGCCACGTTTTGGCTGGTTTGTGCGAAAAGTCGAGGTAGCTAGTACTCTCAATATACTAAGGTCAAGCCTTAAGTATTTAGTTTGGACGAGCCAAACGTGATGACCTCAGCCATGGATGTTTAAGTCAGACTTAGACAAGATTCAAATGATGTATTCCTAATGTGAACCTAAGTTGTATTTACATTTACATTAGGGGGCAGAGAACAAAGATGAGTTAATGAAGACTGAGTCAATAATTTGAAAGTGATACTTGGTGAAATTTTCAAAAAAATTAGTGAGACGAAGGTATTCAAGATAACACTTATACCCGAGATGACATAATCCGAGATGAT